CAAGTCCATAAACTTCAATATGTTCAATACATCACAGAATTCCTCAGCACAAATCCTGGAGAAATGCTCTTCTAATCATTCTTTGCCTCTTGCGGACCAAATTAAGGTCTTCCTCTATGACCCATGGTGGTCCAATCTCCTCCTACATTCCTCCAGATCACCTCAAGGACATCCCCTCTCCATACCCTCGCCTCTACCATAAACTCTTGTAAATACCAACGCTCATTCAAACACACGAAATAGACACTCACCACTGTAGATATTAACGCACTTTGTACTCTTCTTGCTCCAAAGCATTAAATCCCACCTGCTGCCCCTGTCGCAGACAGCTCTCTCCAATCTACCTCTTTTATCTTCCAAATACTATGTGCCATGCTATCAGAGAATAACTCCACTTTAGTTTCCTCTAAACATATCACTTCTGGTTTTCATCTCAACATGCAACCTCTAGTGACGATCTTTTCCTGTGATCACTCAAACCGCTTACATTCCAAGAAACAAAACATAAAACTAACACTGAAATTCTCCCATTTCTACTCTTGTCACTCTTGGATTTCTCATAATTGACTCAAGAGCAAGAGTCCACTAAAAATGTTCTCTTTCATGGAACTTTAAAAACTTGTAATAGATAAGATCAATTACTTAGGAATTTATAACATGATTATCAGTATTCTTGTTATAGCTATAAGAAGGATTTGAATTATAGATCTCTTCTCATAAAAAAAGAACAAGAACTAATGGGGTAGACACTCTCCACATAATGAACCCAATAAGCACTCCAATAGAACTTTGTGCTAAAAAGTGTACATTAAGGTAAAAGGTATATTAGTAATATATCCTGATCTTTGTGATTTTTGTAGTTAATATTGTTTCCTTATATTGTTGCTATTCACCTTTTATATATAGGACCCTACATTCATGATATATACAATAGTTCATTTTTTCACATGGTACTAGAGTTCCAGGTTAAAAAAAAAATTATATTCTTTTGCTGAAATAAGAAAAAAACCTAAAAAGGATGTCAGCTTTCATAACCGGCTACTATAGTCCAGCCACCGGCCACCACCAGCTGCCAGTCACCAGCAGCCAAGATCAACCTTCTAGGCAAAACAAAATCTCAGTTGGAAGCCACTTCCTCTTCTACAGTCATACGCCACAAGCCACAAAGCACAGCCACTCCTGCATGTTCCACCACTCCTGCTACTACAGCCGCGCGTCACCTGTGCTGCTCAGCTGCTCCAAATGTGGTTACTCAACCAAATGCAGCTAGCTGCACCAACCACATAGCCAACAGCTGTGCTTCGTTGCACACCAGTCAGTCGTGCAGCCAATTGTCCAGCTCGCAAAATCCTTCCTGTA